GTTTTTCACGATTTTTGCACCACCGCCGGCACGTGCGTCGCAGCGTCGGTCCGCCATATTGGAAAAGGCCGATTCACGCTGCGGCATCCCGGATTTCGGTTGGCACCACTTAACATGCCCCGTACTTCCGGTCCTGAGATTAGGTTGGCGATCCTTCAGCCACGCGTTGTCCATTACGTTGGCTGATCTGCGGGTATGACGCATACCCATCTTGCTTACCATTGCTCAATGACTGATTAATGTTCGCAGTATTACATCGATTTACACATTCAGGTTCACATTTCTACAGCAACAGCCATCTCGGTTCGAGTTGCTGTGACTCGTAGCTATTGTAAATATTCAACTGCTTGCGACAAAATTCCTTTCATGTTGGCAGTATTGAATTCCTCCCGACGACCATTTTCAAGTCCTACACTCGCGCGACACCCGTTAGGTTGGCGCTTCTGCGGTTGCTGCCGCGCAACCATGTCTGTTACTGTTGCGCAATGACTGTTCATTCTGCGCAGTCTTCTATTCCTTTAAACTTTTAACATTGCATTCTTATAACGGCAGCCATATCAATTCGGTTTGCTGTTTTACTAATAACACTTGACCGATAGCACTGCTTCGAACGAATAAACTTTTAAGTTGGCCGTACTAAACTATTCCTGACGACTGTTTTCTCATGTTGGCGGTACTTCACTGACGCTGTAGTCGTCATGTTGGCAATGCTGCGGGCACGGACGTGCGACCATCTACGTTACATTTGCTGTGTGACTCTACGCAGTTGGCAGTTACGCACTGTTGCGAAGCGACTTTCCGGTTGGCAGTGCTGAAGTAGCGTTCACATCTGGTCCACTTATCATGTTGGCAATCCTTCACTGCCTGTGTCCCCATCGTGTTGACAATTTTTTCTCGACCATCTCGCTTCCCCCTGCTCAGTCTCTGACACGTTGATGTTGTCATTGCTGCCGTATGTCGCACCACACTTATGTTTCCAATCCTTCGCTCGCGCTATTTCCGTCGGGTTGGCATTATTGTGTTGCCGCTTATTGACGCACAGCCGTCTACATTGCCGATATTCTGTGACTCAATGTGGTTGGCAGTACTTAAGTGTTTATCACTTCCGGTACGGCAATTACTTTGGCAGTCCTTCGCGATATCCATGCAGTTGGCATTACTGCAGTGAGGTTTGTTGACCATCTTAGTCCCAGGTGCTCTCGGTCTCGCTAAAGTTGGCCATTCTTAGTCGTGGCAATGTATTTTTCAAGTTGGCAGTATTCAATACCTCTACTCTTTGAGGTTGCCACTACTGAAGTGTGGCTTACTGCGCTCAACCATCTGTGTTGAGGTTGCTCTATGACTGATTGTTGTTAGGTTGCCAGTCTTACATCCCTTTACGTTTTCAGGTTGGGGCTTCTCCGGACGCCTCGTTTCCGGTACAGTTATCATGTTGGCACTGCTGCGTCGATGATGACGTTCATGACCATCTTGATTTTTCCTGCTCTATGACTATTTACTGTTGGCACTTTTGCATTCCTTTACATTTTCAAGTTGGCACTCTTACACCGAGACTCGCTAGTTCGAATTATTATGACATGTAAACGAGAGTAATATCGAAGGTGTTGATAAATTGGAAGCTTCGATAAATGCAAGTATTGATTTCGATATTTAATCAGTAACTACAGATATTTTAGTCAACGACTATACGTACGTAACTATAAGTTATCGCGCGAACGACTCTGCTAGGTTACATGCTAATGAAAATGATGAAAAATCGTATTGATGGTCATCGTTTGGCGCAAAATGTTGGAGAATTAGTAATTCTACTCGGAACTGTTGGAAAAGTAAGCATTAACTATGTTACTTGTAGCTGTTTGTGTATTAATTTAACGTGTTTTATATAAATACATGACATCAATTTTCCTTGGTTTTTGTATTACATATTAGAAAAGTTCAAATGGTAAAAATATAGAGTTAAAGACTACCGATGGTGTAGCGGTTAATGTTACCTTACCAGAACCTATCGATAGTAACGTTGAAGGTTATATAGAAGTTCACGGTACTTTAAATTCAAAGTCTACAATGGCATGCAGTAGTTACATATTATTTCCATCCAGTATGACAGAAGATTTTGGTAAATATCCAATTTAATTTTTTTTTCATATACATTTTCAGATGCATTAAAACAAAAGAAATACGTATTTCAGATTCTGATCACTATAACGAAGCGTTATCTCTACTAAATGTATTAGGACCAAGAAAATGGAAGATATCGGAAGACGATACAGGATTGTAAATTGTTACATCGTTCGCTGTAAACTTTTTTTATAAGAATACAATTATCATACATACTGTACAATTATTACATTTATTAATATTCATACATTTTCTTTTTATAATAAAATTAAACGGTACTGCAACATTTATATTTCTCTGGTTCTTCCATTTATACCGTCTCTAAAAACAATCTGAAATCTTAAAATACACACTGTCAACGTTATTCAAAATTCTTCGATCATATTATCTCTATTTATACGATACTCGTTCCAATTTTGCACGATGCATCTAATGAAAAGCATCTACACGTACACGATGTTACTGGACATTCGGAATGTTGCCTGTTTATAAAAGACAAAGTATTTCGTTAAAGAACATACTATAAGAAAGTTGAACGTTTATAATATTGAAATTTTACCGAAACCAATGCGTAATATGATCAGCATGACCACCGTGTCTACACGTTTGACACCATGTGAACCAATTATTGAATTCTGTTAATTTGTTATCGCATTCTTCGTTTCTACTAACACCGGATGTTGTCATTTGTAAGCCACTTACAGTACCCATGTGCATCAAACAAATGGCACATCGTGGTAACGGTTTTCGACAGTTTGGGCATGAAGACATCTAAAAAAAGAAAGAAAAATAACGCTATCGTTAGAACCGCGATACTTTTAATTTCCTATATTACCTTTAATTTATTGGGAGTGCTTCCTAATCTACCAAAAGGAACTCTTGTTCTACTAAGACCCTGCATAAACGCGGATATACTTTTGCCGCAAAAATTACAAGAAATATATATTTGTTGTGGCGGTTTCTCGTTTGTAGCGGATCGCATAGCGATATCGAAATGTGCTCTTTGGGTCCACATTTTCCAAGCGTTTAAGAGGTTTCTGTAACTGTATTTCAGTTCCTGAAGTTCGTTCTGTTTAAATACCTAACCTCTATACATTCGTTGTCTATGCTTAGTAATACCTAGTAATCCAGACTTGAACTTGATTTTCTTGAAGTAACTTCGATGTAAATGCTCGAATAGCTATTAGACTACAACTTTGAACATCACCGGTGATTTCTAAATACCGATTTAATAACTGTATACCTTCTAAACTGGCACCTAAAATATACTATATGTATTACGAATGGAAATTGTACTTTTTAAACGATTTTAATCTATTTATAAAACCTGTTAAAAGGAAACCAGCTAAATTGCCTTCGTCTGTTAATTTCTGAGTCAATTTTTTTAAATAATCGCTCAATTTATTGTCCGATAAAAACATTAGGGCAAACGCCACTCGATCCTCGACTGCCATACCGTTTTCGTTCTGTAAAGTACACAAAGTTTATACGATAAACGCGTGGCGTGTCTCGTTTCGTAAAATTTGATAAAATATCATATAGATACTATGATATTTCGATCAAATATACTGTACGCGTGCTTACTAAAACATTTTCGTACGAATCGTCCGCTGTTAAAAATGCAAAAGTTGCTCTCAAATAGGGATCGGACAGTTGAGATCTGCATTTTAAACACGATTCTCTCCACATGCTGTTCCTATCTTCGGAAAATCCGGACAAAGCCATAGCAACGATATTTAAATTTGCAGACATGGACATTTTACTAGCACCGCGATTTAGAATTTCTATGGCTTGCCGTAAACATAAATTGAATACCGCTATTGCCGCTGCTCTCGGATATGCTCCTTCTCTTTCTAACCTGTCTAGAAATAAATTATCATAGAGAGTATTGGTCTCTCTATCGAACCTCCAACCGCATAAGAGCAATCCTTTATCTCTATCTGGAGATCTGCAATGTAAGATAATAAAGTGGACTGTCGTTTCGAACAATTATTTATATTCCGTACCTGTAAATTTTTGCGGTGTGATTAGATCCTATATCTGACCAAGGACGATGAATCAATTCCGATTTTAAGAAACCATTGTTAGATCCTTGTTGACTATCTAATTTTAAAACTGTTCTATGTAACATTATCGGACATTAATTCGTGTACTACTAAATATGCGATTATTTAAAGAATCCTTCATTTACCTGACACCCGGATGTTTGTTATCCGGACTCGGTATAGTACCATCCTCGACTAAATAACGACTCAGATACAACCATTGCCACAAATTCTTTAAAGTATCGTTCTCAGCCAATTCACCGTTTTGGGCAAGCTCTGGCTATAAACGCGTCTGTGACAATTTTTAAACAAGAGAAACTATACATTTTTACAACTTACAAGTAGTCCGTATTCCGAAGCCGCGCGTGTTTTAGTTAAAATGGAAATATCATCCAAAGCTTTATAGATGCTGTCGTCGTTGCATATGTATTTAAACGATTTAGATGCATGATTCCAAGCTACGTGAGATCGCGTTGACCAATTTATCGTAATTCTTTCGCAAACGGTATAATCCGTGAGTCCTTAATAAATAGAAAACAACATTTAAGCTGTTTTATTTCCTTATTTACATAACTTAATAGTATAATGTAGTCAAACCTTGTTGAGATATTGCTAACAATCTGTTCACGTGTGTCGGATGCCAAGAAAAACTTACAGGACTATGCCACGGTGGAGCAACCGTTCTTTCTAACGCTCCAGGCTCGGTATCTTCTCCTCCACCGATTCCGCAATGTTGAATATCGTATAAATGCAACGTCGCTTGAACAAAAAATAATAATATTAATTATTATTTATTTTTACTTGTATAGGTATAGGTATTGTCACACGGCAACGAGTCGAAATAATATCTCACCCGAATCTTTTTGTAAAGCTCCTAAAAGGTTCTGTCTAGTTGGACACCACAAAACTTTTGTAATTTGTCTGCCTTGAAACAAAGTTAAAACAGGCTTTTCGAAGCATCGTGTATCCCAAATTGTTACCTGATTATCAACGCTCGATACTAAATGGTAGTTATTATGCGGATTAACCGATACGTTATAAACTGCTTTAGTTACCGCCGTATTTACTACTTTAGCAGAATCTAATAAAAATTAATGAATTTGTCAATGTACCTAATATATCGAAACAAACGAATATATATATTAATCTTTTATCGAATAGTACCCCTGAAATCAATAATTTTTAACTGTTTATTGTTAGCCCCGACTGCCATACATTTTTGTTCGTGTTTGAACCAAGCAACCGAATGTATCGTTTCGGAAACACCAACTTCGGCGATAGGTCTTACAGAATCTGTTTGCACCGTATTATGATGATGGACTCTTTCCGCGCATTGCAAACCTTTATTAATATCCCATAATAAAATAGAATGATCTTTACTATGTTTATCCAAACCGGACACGATCAAATTTGTGTCTATAGGATTCCAAGCAACTGTATTGCATTGCCTCGCGTGTTTCGGAACTATAATAATACATCGTGAATGCAATGAAATATTCGTATAGTCGAAGTCGTGTAAATCCCTTAAATAATTTACCTAATTCTTTTCCGCTAAGACCTTGAGAATCAAAAATGGTTGGACCGAAAGTAGTTAAAACAACTTTTCCGTTCGCTTGTCCAACGGCCAATAAAATATCTGGTTCCGGTTGTGGATATATATCGATACATTTAACGTAATGATGATTCGTATTTGTAGCAAGTAAATGAGCAACGGTGTAATCAGAAATCTTCGTATCTGTATGAAAAAAATTTATTACTCTATTAATAAATGTCTCTCGCTTCGGTCAAAAACAACTACCGTAAGCAAGATATACCCACATAATTGTCTGATATTATCTTTTGCTTGTATAACTTCGTACAAGCAAATTTCTGTACCCCATGTAACGAATTTATTTGCATGAATCGGAGACCACTGTACATCAAGTTTGATATTACTCATCTCTTACGAATTCGTACAATATTGTCAGCAAAAAATGAAATAGAATATCTTAATTGTTCGTCTGGAATAATAAATGAAAATATATTGTACAATTTTACGTTATACTGTTATTTTTAACACAAAAAATTTCGGTAACCTCAAACTTTATTCGCTATTGAAAGTTTCCATTTAAAACTGACACTTTTTACCACTTATATCTGTTCTATTATACAAATGCCCGGCAATTGATCAAAAATTACTGTACTTTAAATACGTTATTAAACTGCAGCACAAGAAACAATGCGCTCACGTTACCGGTCGAACATTCGAAAATTTTGTCGTTTGTCCAACTATGTGTATACAATTTGCTTCGTATAGAGGGTGTTCAAAAACTACGATACAATACCGTTATCCACCAAATTTTATCCTTCGTTATTTATAATCCGTATATAACTTATATGTATAAGAATCTTGACATCGAATGATAACGTTAAAGAGTAGGATGTTTAGGATCACCTTTTGCTTCATTTTATTGCAAGCATTAATTTTGTTACACTTATACATTTTTGTGCAGGTGAAATAACATATAAATAATATTGTATCGATACAATCATAAAAGTTCCATACATAACTAATTTATCGATTAAAATAATACATTTTCATAGTTTAAAAATATATAACATAAATCAATATACATATATTCCAAGTTGTACAGAATGTTCTATTAAAAAAGATTATGGGCATGTATACGAACGAACAAACGATGATGCAAAAATTTCGTTCAGGATGATCTAACTACTGACAGAGCAAAATAGGCTTTAACACGCGTAAATATTATACGACGTATAATGATAGAATGAAATATATATGTTTAAATCTATATTGCCCGATAAAGCTCTTTGAAAGAATTGTATCGTATCGATAATTTCCCTTCGTTAACGATGAACACTTAAAAGGCACAATTAATTTCAACGGTACAAAAATATCAAAACTGAAATACGCAAGGAATACGACTTATTTTCTAAGTAGTTGTTACTAACAAATATATTTCAAATCATAATCCTTTCATAAAATTTCAATTCTTAATAATACATATATATGTATATATAATTATAAAATTGTAAATATAATATCAAGATTCTCTTATTTTATTTCTGCATAAATAAATGCACCTCACAGAGGTTCAAGTCTTTTAAGATAAGTATATTAACCGTGTGTTCAGTCAGTCAAATTCTATTATCGATTTATAGATGCGATATTTTTCGTATAACGGGATTCTTGATTTGTTATTTTATTAAATATATACTCTTGTGTAATGGACCGAACTTACAGATATATACATTTACTGGTCTTTATAGAAATATATAAAAAACGAATCGATCGAAAAGGTACACAATACTCTAGACTCGGATGCAAATATTTGAAGTCAGGTAAAATTTTTACCACATATTAAAGTGGTACATGTAAATACAATTAAATTAATTGTACATACATAATCCGATTACAAAACCAGCTTATTAACGAAGCGACAAACTGTATCGGATGGTAAACTTATTACATAGAATACCACGAATAACAAGCAAATTAAAGTTTAATCGTCACGCGTCTTCGTTACTTTACAGTGTTATGACTTCTAAGAAATAATAGTTTAAACAAATATTATTAACAGATACTAAAACAAGAGTGCTGAAATCATTCAAGGTTTTCAAAAAATATACAAGACTACACGAATAAAGATATGTTATTTTTATTTGTAAACAAAATCAATTACAGTATTTCTATAATAAATATTAGCGACTCTTTTGCTCGCTGTCATTAAATAATCACAAAGTTGTGTATAATGTATATATACATGTACATATTTTATATGTATATATACATATAAAAATTCTTTATCCTCTCTCATTTTTCATTTACAATATTTGAATATCCGATTTATGTACATGTTTCAGCACTCTAAGAATAATTAAAAAACTACCTACGCTAATATATAAAGTGATTTTGTGCTTTGTTGAAAGCTTCGATACTTTATGATGCAAATTATTACTAATACATACGAATTATGATTACACGTATGCACTCGTGCATTATAAATTAATCAATCAGCAATGTTATCAAGAAGGAACATGAATTTTATAACTCCTAACGTAACAATCGTTACAAACGATTTGTAAAATGTATGTTTTCGATATAAATATTTCAAATACGTTTAATGTCAATTCACTGTAAAGTGTCAGAAAACTTTACTATATGTATGTAACATGTGTGTATACCATAACACTATGTATATGTATATAAATACACTTTCCTTACTCAGATTTTGCAATTAGAAGTTGAATATTCCATTATGAAAGTTATACGTGTCGTTTTATAATTGTTAGAGCAAAATGCAACAATTTCTTTTCTTCTTACGTTCGTTTCCATCGCCCTGATTTTCCTGTGCTTTCCGTGCAGCTATCGCGCTCATTAAATCGAAAAATACCTGAAATGTAACAAAAGAAATTTTATTATACCGAATAAATACGGAAATTTTACGTTTGTCTATTTTTTTTCAACGTTAACGCGTTAAATATACACAACAAGTTTATTTGTAGCTGTTACATCGAAAAATATACATGCATCGCAACAAGTTATATATGTACTAGTTTGTATGAAAATTCCCAAACATTGATTTCTCAAACATCGAACAAACAAATTATCTTACGTTTTTATACATTGCAATATCGAATGTTACAGTTATACATGCGTATGCAGTATTTCAGGCATAAGCAAGAATCAAGCAAAATATATGTAAAACGTTTTCTTTTTACGTGCCTGTGAGAGACACTCTCGTAGAAGGTTGTTACATCTGGCGTAATTGTTACCTGCTGATAATTGCACATACACATACTTATTTAAATTTAAGAAAATAAGTGAAAAAATTACAATTTATAATATTTCTAATTATTGCACAACTTTATATTATGAAAAAATTAACAACGCTTTAAAAAACTGCAAACCTATAGAAAAATGCACTTCTTTTTCTTCTTGTTAGCACGGTCCTTTCCACGACCGTTGCTTGCTGACTTGTCCTCGATCTTGCGCGACCTTATTTCACGCATCAAGTCGAAAAATACCTGAAAATGTGCAATCGATGCCATCTCAAAGCCTCGAGGCTCGAAAAAGTGCTTTATGAATTAAAAAAAAAAAAAAAAATGCAATACATATATATATATTTATGATGTGCTTATATAAACACACATACATTGCAAAGAATTGTGCGCGCAAAAGCTATACAATGCACATGTAGCAGAGAAACTTATAGGACATGGATAGAATTTGCAAATTAAGCTAAATAAATATATATCTCATGCAATTTCTGTATTCTAAGGGCTATGACAAAATTGAAATACTGCATGTGCATTTCTTATATACAACCATAAACGTATGAATATTACCGTTATTAACCGAACATCATTGGTAACGCGAACTTTCAGCGATACAACTATCTCGATATTACCAACTGTAAATCGGCTGTATAAACTTACCTTATCAACGTTCTCTTTAGTTTTTGCACTCGTTTCTACATATGGTACGCCCCACTGTTGCGACCTTGCTTGAGCTTCCGCCAAACTAACTTTTCTCTTTTCTTGTAAATCGCTTTTATTTCCCACTAATAGAAATGGAATGTTTTCGTCGTTCTTTACCCTGAGAATCTGTTCTCTGAACACGAAAATTAAGAAAAATTAAACATTGAGTTATTTCGAGTATACAAATTATCGCGTACCTAAATTCTTGAGTAGCCTGAAAACTGTCGTCTTCCGTTATGGAAAAGACGCAAAGAAATCCTTCTCCGCTTCGAAAATAATTATCTCTAATCGCGGCGTAATCTTCTTGACCTGCAGTATCAAGAATATCAATTTGTACTTCCTCTCCGTCTAACACAACTTTTTTTCTATAAGAATCCGCTTTTGTAGGCTCGTAATCCTCGACAAACTGATCGAAATAAAAAAAAATATACGTTTATATATTCGTTATACATATTCCCAACATATTCTCTTCATACTTTATATACCTCGTCATACATAAATTGTAAAGTAAGGGCAGACTTCCCAACACCTCCGCTACCAACCATTATAACCTTATGCATTGCCGGAGTTGTACCTGGTTTTTTGGACATTTTGTTATATTTTTCTGAAACAGTAACATACGAAGAACATACAACTATGTATACCGTATAAACATTAAAATATATCTACCGGATTAGAAAGTTATCAGATATAAATATCATTAAAGGAAATTATACTTGTCAGAGACAGGATGTGAAACTTCTATTGTTAGTACGAGAAATCTAAACACAGGCACAGAATTGTATATTTGTACGTCTACTTATACTGTCATTCAATATCTTTCTGTAAACGAAAGAAATACAGGTTAAAACAAAGCTATATAAACTATTTCGATATACAGACTGGCATTTAATTTTTCCATCATGTTTATTCGATGCTCCGTTGAGCATGACACAAGAAACGTCGAAACAAATCGTATAGAACTATTCGTCTTCCATTGGAAAATTCAAATAATATTTTTACAGTTATCCGTGACTTTGTGTAAAAAAAAAAGGGTAAAACGAAATGAAATACATCTAAATATACGAGAATGAATAACGAAAAAGGCGGTGCCACACGCCCAATGTCAAGGAACGTCTAATTCGATTCTACGACTTAGAAATTTCATTCATTGGATTCGAACGTACATAGTTTTTGCCTGCAGCGTTGACAAATTTAGCTTTTCTAAATACCTTTTAAGGACGCGTATATAAAGTAACTTTTTCCTCTTTTTCTAAGTCTCAGCTGTCGCGCTTCGTTTACTGTATCGCGAGTGATAGTACTGATAATTAACCGAGGTATTTCCGCACTCTACCGGCGACTTTTTGTACTGTTATACCGGTGTTATTGTCAGAATTCATTGCTACTACACGATATAACGAAATCATTGCCTCTTTTTGCACGATTGGTAATTCGATAAACGTTTTCTGGATTTCTGAGATTTCGAATCCTAGAAGTCTCGTTTGTTCACGTTTTCTGCCGCTAAATGACTGTACTCTGGATTATTAGTCGACTATTCGTGTGTATTAGTCATAGACTATGATTAATAGGCTGTAACAGAGTTTACAATTCTTTTTTTTTTATTTCCGTTTCCGAACACTTTTATCAGAATTATTATAATACCGTCGAAATCGTAGAATATTTTATTATTTTGTTATTTTATCAACCGCGTCGCTCATCGCTAGGCGATATTAAATGGTACTGTTTTCAAAGTAAAGTTGACACGCTCTGAAAGACTGAAAACGAATCGAGGAATAAATACACGTTGATACAATTTCTCGTTGAACAAAGTACAAAAACAACGGAAAAACAGAGTTAAAAACAACGAGAGAAATGCGGCTGACGAGTTTCATACCGCGTATTTATATATACGTATTCGAATTTTGATTAAAGTTAAGTCTGTTTTATCAATCTAATTAATGATTTCGTTATTACGTAGATGTTACGTTAGAAATTTGAATTTTCAATCGAAAATAAATTCACCGAGTATTTTAAAAGATTAACCATGCTGAATACGATAAAGGAGTGTTTGAAAAATAATGTACGAAAACGAAATAAAGTCGTACGATTAAATAAATCCGAAAACAAGAAGCAACCTTTAAAAAATATGCCAGGTAAAAGATTTGAAACAACTATATACAAAAAGTGTACTATACCGACAATATTTTATTAGTCTTTCAGTATCCGATAAGCAACGAAAGAGATCACAGAGTATACGTTTGGGGTATGGCAGAACACGGTGCTCTTGGAACGGTAAAATCAATGTCGTACGAAAAAGGCATTTCTTATATCGCGAAGCCAAGACGATTAAGTTTTGCGGAGAAACAAGATGTAACCAATATATGTTGCGGTTACGGTTTTACTGCTTTCGCCGTAAGATCTAAAGATAAGAATATTTTATACGGAAGTGGAATAAATACAGACTCGCAGCTTGGTAAAAAAGAAATATCAGTTTGTTTATACATTTTCTACTCTAAAAATTATATAAAGATTTTGTATGTATATTTTATGAACAGGTTTCGACGAGAGCGATAAGAAGTTCCTGGATGATTTGATAACCGAACCAAGACCTATCGATTTACCCCTTAAAGATTCTTCCACCAAAATTACCGATATGGCAGCTGGAAGAGCACATTTGTTGATATTGACGAGCGAAGGTTTATTTACATTAGGAAACAATTCGTATGGACAATGCGGTCGTCCTATAATATTAGACGAAAATTACAAGAAAAGTAAAGTAGTTCATCATATATCCGATATTAAAGGAAAAAAGATCAAGGCTGTAACAGCCGGGCAAGATCATAGGTACAAGATTTTGCGATATATAATAAATAACAAATTACATTACATACATATATCATCCCTTATTTCTTATACGATAGCATACTCTTGACAGAATCTGGTGAGGTGTACACTTTTGGTTGGGGTGCAGACGGACAAACTGGATTAGCGCATTATCGAAACGAATATAGACCAAGTTTAGTTAAAGGAGATTTAGCTGGACAGCATATCATAAAAGTTGCTTGCATCGCAGATTGTGTATTAGCACTCAGCGGTATCTGCAATGTTCATGTATTAATATCATAATAAACTGCATATTCTATTATACGGTATCACGATAAATTCTATATTATATAATCACACAGAATTTGTGATTATAGATAAAGGAAAAGTATTTGGTTGGGGTAATTCCGAATACGGACAACTATTTACCCACGGTGAAAATCAACAAGTGAATATAGCTACCGAGTTGACCGCTTTAGAGGACGTGGGTCACGTTAAAGACATCGCGAGCGGTGGTTGTTTCTGTATGGTTTTAAATAGTAAGTATTCGCGTAATAATTTTACTATTAACTTCGTAACAAGTATAAACGAAGTATATAACAGGTGCGGGTGATGTTTACGTATGGGGATACGGTATTCTTGGTCTTGGACCTGAAGTCAAAAGAATTATGCAACCAACTTTAATTCCATCCGTGCTGTTTGGTAGAAACGCATACGTGAAGGATGCGAAAGTAAGTAAAACTCTAAATTTAACGAGGCAACAAGAAGTATCGTATATATTCTTTCGCAGGTAATGAAAATATTTTGCGGTACAAGTCATCTTGCGGCTTTAAATAATCTCGGTGACTTGTACATGTGGGGTTGCAACAAATTTGGATCCTTAGGATTAGGACATACGAAAGACCAATATTTCCCATTAAAGGTAATTAGATTTACTATCGATCGTTTATCGTTGAAATCGATGTAATTATAAATAACGAAGTGTATATTACAGGTAAATGTAGGGGCTCAGGTAAGGAAAGTAGCTTGCGGAGTAGATCATACAGTTACACTCTGTAAACCTTTTGTTTGAGACACAATATATTTTTCATATAATATATGTTAATATATTATTTACAAAAAGTATGTATAAATTGTTGCTTCGATTTGTCATAAAAATATAATACATGTAGATAATCTATCCTTTATGTCGTTATGCATTACGCGAAGTTTGATCGATGAATAACGTGTTCTCGTAAAATGAAATGTCGAACGAAAATGGACGTATCCGATGTATAAAGTTTTTAACTACGAATTTGGATACTATAAACAGCTAAAAATACGATTAAAATAAACGAATTGAACGTAATACTAGTTGCACCGCTAGTACATATTAAATTTTCGTAAGATATCGTGTATTTTATCGAATTGGGAAATCTGCAAAATTTACGATCTAAAACATAAACGAAAAATTTATATCGTTATTGCAAGTTTTTATTATACGACTCTTATTTGTATTCACGTAATACTTACCTGTGCATTGATACGAACTACTCGAAGAGTTGGAAGCTATCGATATATAAAGCGGTGGACACGCATGAACGAAAGCAGCATCGGCGCAAGATACTTTAATACTATGTACATTGTTGGTTATCGATGTACACGATTTAGTTGTTTCCGTTGTATTATTAGCGCGTAACGGCTCCCGCGAGGAACATACGGTTAAACTGTCGGAACTACTTCCTTGAATCTGGAAATACGATTTCGAACGGTTCAAAAATCTTTCTTTACGTAACGATATTTTTTCGAGATTTTTTACCTTTATCGTTGCAGAGTTATCACCGTTGAAAAAGTAATTGGGATGTAATTTGTAGAAATTAATTCCATAAGGTACTATATAATCACTGTACGAATTCGAAGTTCCAATCACGGTATAGTTCGATCCACATTGCGTATTGATCAAGCGCTTCGGAACTGTTACACATTACGATTAATACATTTTTTAAACGTTACATCGTCTAATATTACAAATTAATCGTGTTCGCGTCTTTTACCTTGTTTTATTCTTTCAACGATACTCGTTATTGGTTCTAAGGCTTCTCGCGTATCTCCGATGCTAATAGAAAATAAGTCTGTTGCGGAATTTTTCACCAAATTAGACCAGGTATCTTTCGAGCCATACGTTGCAATAAGTAATACCGTATCTATTAAAGAAGAAAAAAAAAGATTACATTGGTGATAAATTGCACGACCATTTACCGAACCGTAAAATTTATCGTAACATCAGAATTTAGTTAAAGGTATATGTCGATGTTTTATAATAAGATCGTATACATCATTACCCGGAATTTGTTCTCGCATTCGTGAAATAGTTTGTAAACAGTATTCCTTGTCGTTTATGGAAATATATGAAGCATGTGGAATGATCAAGACAACGTTAGATCTTGCACCACCGTCGTGTTTGCGTTCATCCTCCAGTTTATTTTTCAAGTACCAATTTAATTTATCCAGTGATTTCGGTAAATTAATACCATGAGTAACTAAAAAAAAAAAAAATTGTGGACCGTAAACGATTATCTAGCGACTTATTCGCTTACTATCTGCTATTATATTACGTACTGTTTTGATAATGCGACGAATTATAACCGTGAAAATCTAAAATGTTATAGGTACTATTAATCATCGGAGTTCCGTCCTGTCCATTTATTAAAGTGAAATTAGAATTGAACTGATTGATTTCCAAGCTTTCTAATAAGGTTCTACAAAAAAAAAAAAATTATACATCAACCATCAACACTATATACATTTGCGCGAATCTATAATTTTTTAAAACTTACGCAAGAATAGGTTTTATCTCGGAAAAATTCCAATTTGTATCCAGAATGATTGTCAAATCAACGGATATTTGATTCAGATCAAATAACGTGTTCGTCGTCTTACACGATGGATCGTTATTCATCGACAAAGCTACGAAATCGAAATGAAAAAATTAAATATAATTCTTTCGTTTCATTGGATTAAGCAGTAACAACGTATACGTAGTCGAGTATCGAAATACTAAAATTATAAGGTAACACTTACGTACGTATCTTGCCAGCTCGTTCACAGCTTGTACCGAAAGTTTCTCTATTTTCGTATTATCTATTGTAGCTTGTGCTATGGAAGAATCTAACAATAAAGCAGCACTGTACGTCTACACGGAATAAGAAATATGTAACATAAGGAAATTGCTTGTTTCAGAAACGAAGAAAATATATTTTAAAACTATTATTTTACCTGCGCAACCATCGTTTCGTTCGGTGCAACGGACGTGAATAATGTTCTTCGGTCGCATGCTCTAACGGAAGAATCAAAGAAGCCCAACGGGCTGTAATACATATCGAATATTTGCGAAAGTCTCAAACTAGGTATTCTAGAATACCATTTACTAATTTCACGAGCCAAGATCAAGCCATCCAAATCTCCTCTGATTTCTGCCGTGGTCATTTCAGTCTTTTCGTTGGTCGTCAAAAAATACCAACGCGGCAAAGCGGTAGAATTCCAGTTACCGGTTGCTCCGATACTCAATTTATCCGTCGAATCTTGAGTAGGGCCTTGTCTTAAAGCTACCTCCGCCAAATCTCCTGTTTATAATAAACGTTTATAGATTTTGAAGTAATTAATTATCTATATACGCATTTGCGCGTATGTTTCAAGATATTTATATTACCAGCTAAAGTGGCAATCCATTTGTTATCCAAAGTCAATCCCGATATGTTCGTATTGTTTTTTTGCAACGTAGTCGGTTGTAAATCTCTGAGAGTGGTTATTTCGGGTTGCGTAGCTGCAGCTATACCGGCGAGTACCGAACCAAGAGAAACCGTACCCCATCTAAAATTTGAATTAACGTTAAATAACGAATTCGATTTAAACGTACGCTCTTTCGCAGCGTATCGATGACTTACCGAGTTTTCACGACTCCATTTTCTACAGGACATTTGCTAAGCGGCGGTAAACTACTCAGTCGTGCAATATCCGGATGATTAGGTGGCAATTCTGGATAATAGGAATTTGGATCGACGGTCACCCGAGCATCTTTATCTTTACGGTGAGTCATGGTTTTTCTGCATAAAAATAATTTATAATACAGTATTTTCCCCGTAAATGTTAAAACTTCGGGTCTCGATTTTAACATTTATGGAATAGGTACTACATTCTTTGTAGCGAGCCAAACATAGAAAAAGACAGCAACACAAAAGACAAAGAGGGACTGAGGTTTGGCAAACGTGAAAGACTCGCGCGTGTTCTGTCTTTTAAATTCAAAAATCAAAATTCTTTATTTTTGATTTTTCGCGAACGAAACTTCGATTATCGTATTCGTCTCGAAACGAGGCAAATATGATGGTAAAAGTTTCATGAAAAAATAGTAAGAAATAAGAAAGTTGCAATCTTTTCTTTTGCTTGCATTAGTATGTGTCTCACCGATGTTCGGTCCTCGTCGTTTCGGCGATTGATCGTGTTTCATTTTCGACTGATTTCGAGGGGGGATGAAATTTTAACATTTACGGAGAGAATACATTGTATTTACCTTGTTTACTATGGAGTAAATTATTTCTGTATTACGTACAGTTTCGAAACTTACATTTCTTCGGACGACAATGTTTCTACATCGTTGATAGTGCTTTTAGTCGCAGCTTTATTATCCATCGACGTAGCTCTTACAGATCTTTTCGCATTCGTGATTCTACAAACTTCTGCTTCGTCTCCTCTTTCAAAAATATCGATAGTACTCGATAACATGAAATGTAACGTACACTGTAATAGAATATAATCGATTACTACAAGTACGAATACAATTATAACTTTATACGTACTCTTTCAACATCCGTGATACTGTTATTAGGAAATAACATAGCGTTCCCTGGTATAAGACGCAGAGTTTGAGCGTGACGAAAAAATTGGTAAGATATCGGTGCGTAAGGTGTTATACCATCTTGAATATTTACACGAGGATTCGGTGCAATTCCATCTTGTCGGAATCTATTATAATCGTATATTATAAGTCACAGGAAATTTAGATTTTTTCCGGGACAATTATTCTTTGAAAATATAAATAATTTACCGATGTAAAAGCGCAACGGATAAACTTCTTAAATCCATGTTAAGTCCTTCCGTGTTTTCGATTTTGCGAAGTATCGAAACGAACGTATCGAAAGTATGCGGTAATCTATTATCTCTCGTTAAAAGATATTTGTTCTCGTAACATTCTCGAAGAGACGGCGAAAGATTTCTGTGCGCGTTCTCTTGTCCATGCACGGCTGAAGAGAAACGAATAATCCAAGTTTTTAATATAATTACGGTGAATCGCGGTAAGGGGATATATGTTTTCGTAAGAAAATACTTACTTAAAACGATGAGAGCAAAGAAGCACAGAAGTTTTGCCATCGTTGAAACAAACTGAAAGTTATTAAAGATGAAATAAAAGTAATAGAAAATTATACGATGATATTACGATATAACGATCGTAAAGAAACAGAATTATACGTAAAACTCGAAAAATACATACCAGAATGGAATTTTAGTCACTTTTTAAGAATAAACGATACTCTTACAAGTCGGCCCAGCAAGGTGTAATACCACACCTATCCGGAGATACAGCGAAACCTATCATTGCCGAACAGATAAGATAATATGATACATCGTGAGTAATATATCCCCACTACAGATTACAGATATCGAAAGAAGTATACCGAAAATCCATGAAACATGTTAAAAACTTTGAAACTTTTAAGTATATCGAATCACTTTTTTCGCTGTATATCGAATCTATCGGATATTAATACTGTCGCGTTATCGTACACAAGGGAATTAACGTTATTCCGCAGTATCGTCGTTAATTTTTTCTTTACGAGCAACAAATTAATCAACGTTCTCTCGATATAATTTTACTAATTGGAAAGAAAAAACGATCAATTAAGAATACCGTTTCAGGTATAACTTTCAAGATAATCCTACGGAAAAAAAAAAGAAAAAAGTTGTAATATCCTTATCCAGAAATATCTTATCAGGTGTTAAATTTTTTCTTACACAATCGTGATTCATAGAGAAGATACCGAAAACGAGGTGTAAGCATTAGAGTTTGTTTAACAGATTTTCAATGACACAAGTATGAAGATCGACATAGTTTTATTTTCGATACTTTGTTTCGGTAAGTACTCGAAAAGTTATAATAAAATATGCAAAGTAAGAAAACGTTTAATTCTCGCTTGTAACGTTAATAGAAATATTTGTTTATCGCGACAGAAATTCGATTAATATGCTCACAAACGAGTATACCAGAATCACTGAAGGAGTGTTACAGAACCGAAAGTGCGTTAAATCCTAAACTTCCGTTAAATTTACGTATAATAACAGATATCGTGCAAAAATTGGAAAGACATTCGTACGGAACAACGAATTTGCGAACAATGTCATCCGCGATATTACATAGGTAATTAAACGTAACGCGAATATACTTACGTTTCATCGGTATTTTATACTCTAATGATTTCTAACGACTGTTTTCCTTTTAAACGATAGATTCAAGTTCGACGGCATCGAATATCAAAATAACGTGCATCCTTCGGAGGGTATTCTTCCATTCGGTGCAACTGGAACACAGCGTATTAAACATAAATTGATAGAAGATCTTATTCCTAGCGATATACAAACGTTACCGGTTCACGTACTTTCACAGACAGAGCGTTGTATACTGCATCGATCAATTTCGAATACGATTCTGAGATACGATATCGATGGAAACAATACGTGTACTCGTCCTGTTGAAATTCGAAACGAAACAGGTAGCGTCTGAAATGAAACGAACGGTTAGTTAACGGTACGATGGAAAGTAAAAAATTATTGTCACAATTATTACAAATAGGTCGAGTGGCGAAGTGTCCGATACAGCAAGGAGTAATTCTAACATCCTACGGAACTATTGCGCCTGGAGCGATTATAGGAGCGATAGCTGCGTCTCTTCAACGCCAAAATGTTGCTGTGAAACAATTGATCAGCAATTTAGAAACATCTGTTTCGGGTACGGTATTAACGTAAAATATTATCTATACACAATGGAATATCGTATACGAACATCGCTTCTGTTTTTTTAGAAAGGAGTTCCACAAATTTACGGTATAACGAAGAAGAAATCGATTTGATCGTACCAAGAAGCGAAATGAGCCAAGGACCATCTATGTGGTACGAAACATTAATCGCATCGTCCAGTAAAGTCGACAATGTATGGTTAACTACGATCGCAGGTACAAGATACGATAATGTTCGTGCATCGTGTAGCGCGAATATAATAACGTAGACAATTATCGTTGAATCAGGTGAATTAGCAGAAATGGTAGTGTATCAAGGCCCGTTGACAGGATTCAATATGACCCTCGGCGCGACAGGATTCTGGCAGAATAGAATATGTCCGACTATTTTTTATCTCGCAGATTCGCAGGAAAATTTCCATGCAACTCGAGCCGAACTAATAGGGGGCATCGATGGTATAGAGCAACAACGTACAGTTAACTTTTAACGTTTATATTCTCTCGTATCTGTCCAATTTCAGGTATGATTATCGCGAATAATTTGCAGACTTGGATCGAAGATTTTTATAGTCTTCGACTGAGTCAAATTTTAGAAACGTATTATTCGTACGAGGGCGTCGCTTTTAACGCGAACATCAGAGCCTGCGAACGATCGCGAGCCTTTTTATATTCGGTGCCAAAAACTATTTTGGACGAACAGGTTCGTTGAAACGCGCATCGAGTATAAATCGTCTAAAACTGTATAATTTTTATTCCTTAGACTTACGCGATAGCGCAGATGTTGGCTTATCGCAATAGTATCGCATATATTTCACCCGAAACTCTGAAAAAGCTGGTCGAATGCGCTACCGAAAAATTTTATACCTACGCGGAGAGTCATTTATTTCCGGAATTGCCTTGCCAAAAAATAAATCGTTCTCGCGTGGAAACGTTAGTCGTATTCGATGGTTCGTGGCCAATGGAATATACAACGGATCTATTAGCGTAAGCTGCCATTAGTTACTCGTTATTACAAATATACTTTTACCGTTTTAACGAAACGGCATTTTCTTAGAGTTTTGATACAAGATTTAGACGTATCGACGTACGGATCAAAGATCGGTATAATACACGGTACTACGGGCGAATGGTTGTTGAACGTTACGAACAGTCCGTCGTTAGCGTTCGAAACGTTAACGAACTTTACGAACGTTCCATGTAAGTTTCCCAACGTTCGTCGTCAATTTTTATCGAATATTCGAACGTAATGCAATGTCCGTTTCAGGGCCTACCGAATTAAACTACGTTAAAGTTTTGAATACGATATTCGCTCATTTGAACAAAACCTGGGAAAACAAGGAAAAACATGGGATTATCGGCAATCTTGGACAAGTAGTTCTACTGTTAACTCCTTTAGGTTCTATGTCGAATAACGAGAAAGTATCGGCAACGACGATTCTACGTCGAATAAAGTATAATCATCCAGGTAAAAAAAAAACAGTGATCCGTTATTTTTACGTATACCGTACGATTAATCGACTTCAATCGAACGATTCGCAGAAGTTAATTTCGTATATTACACGTCACGATCTAATACCGATTTATTTCAATCGTTCATACTATCCGACGAGGATCGCTTGATAGATAATTCGAACATCGACAGTGTTATTCGATATATATCGACAAGTACGTTGCTGTTATTATTGTATACGTAAGTTAATATGTTTCGGGGGAAAAAAAAAAAATCATAAACGGAAGCATCGATCGTTTCAGTTCCGAAGATATTGAGATCCTCGTCGTCTTCGTACAACGGAACGAATGTTACCTCGCAATTCGAAGATTACATAAGTCCTTCGGAATGTATAAGGTACAAAATGAATTCGAAGTGGAAAAAAGATAGGAGAAGAATATCGATGACAGTTGGTATCAAAGAATTATAATTCGTTCGAATCGATCGTTATCGTAATATTAATCTTTTTTAGATACACAGTTTCGGTTACGGTAGCGTAAACGCTTGTTCGTGGACGCAATTCGGATCCGGCGACGAAGAAAAATTTCGATGCGTCGAATTAGCCGGTTACGAAGAAGTTAAATTAACGAATCAGTTGAACTGCGTTGAAACGTCGTCTTGTCCGGATATATATCTAGAGATACGAAACGTAACTTCTTTGTACAAATGTGCAGGTATGTAAACGATTAATCTCTTAACGCAAGACGCAATGAAACATATATATGTGATAATAATAAAATAACGATCATCGATCGTAGAAATAGAGTGCAAAACACCGGACCAAGTAAGATTCATCGTAAGAACGAAAGAGGAAATTGTACGGCACGAAAATTCTGCGAATAAAAATAAATTAGCGTTACTTAATTTTCTGACTTTATTTATATTGGTAATATTAATATAAACTTTGTACATTATTACGCGATTTTTTCGTTGAAATAAAAGAATTGAAAAGAAAAAAAATTAATAAAACCACACCTGTACCGTACAAACATTTATTTATCGTATAAAAAATACAAACAGTTTTATTACTTACGACGGGTACGGAGAGATCAGTCGAAATAGTATTTGCTGTACGCGTACTCGTAGACGAATTTGATGAGAAATTGAAAGTTGCTGGATGCCGCGAGATTTCCCAATTCAGGTTCCGTCAAAAGCATGTCGACCGGAGGAAGAAATTCGTTGACTTTACCGCCTACAACGGATACGTAGTACGTATAAGGAGATCGTACGTGAAATAAATAATTATATTCGAGGAACAATATACGCGCGTGGAATTACCCATAAAACGTGCGAGATCCATTAATTTGAAGAAAATCGTTTCTTGCACTTGCTGTTCAGGATTCTTTCCAGCGATATCCCATCGATCTCGTTTAGCTGCCCTAGCCCAAATTCGTAATTTCAAAGACATCTTTTCTTCCTCTTGTTCCACGTATTCCAATAAATCGAGAGCTTTTTTAAAGTCGTACTCGTTCGCGTCGACGTTATCCTCCGACGTGTACAACTATCGATTATATCTGATTTATATAGGATGTCCTTGAAATAAAAGTAGGAGGTAAACAATAGAAAATACCGTAATTAATTCCGTGGGTGTAAATACTCGTAGTTTATCGACGTCGTAACCGTAGGTGGTAAGCACTCGCGTGGGTAAATCTTCTTGATGAGCTATAAGCGCTAATTCGTTGTTAATTCTTTTGATGCGATCCGTTAGTTCTTCCTCGGGATCGTCCGAAGCCAAGAGAGCCAATTTCGCCAAAGAGAGCATAGACTTTTTACGAGCGACTAATTCGTTTTCCTGTATCGCTAAAGAATGAAGCGTATTAGCGGCGAAACGTAAATCGTCGGTTAACGCGGATTGTACCCAGGACAAAGTAGGGTGTTCCGCTAATTTTTCGGCTAATTCTAGGGTACCGCCGCGTCTACATTTCTCTACCAATTCGCCTTGTCGTCCATCTTTGACGTACCTTTAAACGATTTTATAAGAGGCGTGAAAAATCGCATAGAATAATAGCAAGGGTCGAAAGCAACTCACCATGAAAACAAGAATCCGACAAAATCTTGAAGAGCAAATTTTTCTATGTATCCGTCCAAACGATTTTTATTATCGGTTAATTCGCAAATTTGTACGAGAGACGCGAAATCGCAATACTTTTCAGCCAGCATCGCGGCGCTGTCGTATTGTTCCTCCTTGACTGTAAATCGTAAGAGATGCGATTAACGGGAGAAAAAATGATTCAAGAAGAAATACGTACCGAGAGGTTGAATCAGATTGGTTCGATCGGTTTCGTATTGTTTGATAAGTATCTCGAACTTCTCGGTTCCTCTGACGCTTTCTATGTGAGATTTTCGACCATCCAATATGAAATCTATGTAACCGACCAGTTGCTCGTACAATTCGTTTCTAACGGTGGAATCGTTGGTACCGGTGATACCGTGTTTGAGCGTTAAATTATACTGCGAGAAGCATAGGTCGGTTATTAGTTAGCGGGAGGAGTAAGAAGAAGAAGAAGAATTATCGTACCGACCATCGTAGTTAGAGAAGTTCTTAATCCGTGGTTGCCAACGGCCGCTGTCCACGGAAGATACTCGGTTATACCGGTGGAACATCTGGTAGGTATAAATCGTTTAGCGTTACGCCGACGGTATTCGAGGACTTCGCGAAGTATACTCTGCGAAACAACGGTGCGATATAATTCGTAAACGAATAATTTTATTTCGTTCTACTTACCAATAATATAGCATTGACTCGCAGGATGTAACGAGCTACTTGTTGAATCGGTCTTTCGGATCGAGTAATTTCCGTGGCGTTGTTTACCAAGGTAGGAAGAAAACGATGTACCGTACTGGCTTGTCGATAAAATATATCGCGAGAGGTTAATTGGTCGGACACGAAGGAATCCGGGGTTAAAGTTTGTTCGATGACAGCATCGACGATATCGGAATAGGTGTTTTGTAGATTGTAGAGGGTAATCGCCGCGACTAATTTTTCGGCGTACTCTTGGAGAACGTGAGGCGTAGCCATAATGATTCCTCTGTAGGTAACGGCGCAAAATCTTGTCCACAAACGGTGTTCTTTCAAGAAGCGTACGAAGAAATCCAGCGCTTTGAGTTTTCCTTCCAATTGATTGAGTATCTGCATGGAAGCAACCGCGTTCAGGGTAATCGACAAATCTCTGCGATCGGCCCAACGCGGATCATTGGCAGGATAATCGTCTATCAAGTCTTTGGCAACTTTCAAAACTAAAGTATCGAGAGTGGCATCGATATCCATGACCGGTTCTTCTTGCGAGGGAAAAAGTTGAGACAAAATTTCCTCGCATCGTTGGTTATCTCGACGAAGAGCGAGAAGAAAGGCAGCGCGTAATCGCGTAGCCGTATCGGAACTGTAATACATGTCTTGAAGTCGTTCGTCGGTAATGAGAGCGGTAAAATTTTGCGCAGTTAAATCGATACGATGATCGTGCTCCGTATTGTCGTTGTGAGTCCTAAAAAAAAACAGAGAAAAAAAAGAAAAAATAATTGTTGAAGTTAGAAATCGTTGGAAGAAATCGTGCGTAAATAACGAGGGACGACGAACGTATCGAAATCTCGTTGAGACATAAAATCGGTGGGAACGATGGAAACCAATCCAAAATTTTTGGTGAACAAAACCGGAGTTCCGGAAAACGACGCACCGCCGAGGATGCTGTCGCCTCGTCCTAAATCTATATTGTCTTGTTCATGGTCGGTCGTATCTGAAAAAAAAAAAGAAGGGTTTACTTTCGTTACGAAGTGTAAGTAGGATATAGAGAAAAAGAAAAAAAAAAATGAAAGAAAACTTACAATTTACAACAAGGACATCGCGCCGATTGTATACAATGGCTTCCCATCCGCACAATATAAAACGATAGGTAACTAAAAAGGATTCGACGTCGGATTGATAAAAAATGGGAGAATTTTCCTTGAGGGGTAGGAACCATTTGAAGTCGCGTGCCAAGGTGGTGCCGGACAATTGTATCGAGCCTATGAATTGGAAAGTCGAAGAAATAAATTAGTTGCTATAGAATATGAAAAAGAAAAAAGAAAAATATTACCAAGAGCAAGATGAACGAAAGGCGGTCCGGTAGTACAATGGGCTGCCATTAAAAAGACGATTCCGTCTTGGCAGGTTTGCATATCGATCAACCATGTTTCCATATTTTGCGGATCGTACTCGTTGGATCGTCGTTGAAAGAGTTGCGAAACGAGGTGTCCGATGTCCTCGTCGAATTCGATTTTTTCCTGTTCGTTAGAGGGAAAGGACCAATACTGCAAGGAGGAACCGGCCAAAACGAGTACCCTGTAAGCGTTGTCGGGGAGAGCGTCGCAAACGACCCTGATCAATTTCTGCGAAGAAGGTTATTCGATTAGTCGGTGGATATTTTTTAGCGTCGGTGTTTAAGTATCGAAGCGGTGATATATTACCGTTTCGGTGACAGGGGATTGAGGTATAGCTCCGAAAATAAGAGAGGTCATTCTGCGTCCTATACCGCCTAGCCATCCTTGACTGGTTCTGAGAAGGTGGCAGTTAACGGCGTGCTTGCCGGAGACGAAGCGTGGTTGCAACAACGCTACGGTACAGGTGGTGGTGACCAAGATACAACCGTGGCCAGGTACGCGAGCCAGGCAATGAACTTCTTGACCCGCCAACTCTGCACTGGTTTCGACCGAAGAGCCTTCGTGAGCGACGCTCGGCCAATAGCGGACAATACCCTCCGGAGAGACTGCCATGCAACTGGGTAGCTTATAATTTGTAGGTTATTTTTGTTCTCTTTCTTTCTTTTTTTTTTTTTTTTTTTTGGTT